ATACTGTAGGAGTGATGAAAGCAACATTTGCAATTAGTACTTTAATAATGTGATTTCTACCCAGCTCCAGCACTGGTTTTTTGAGACAAAGTTAATGTAACTGAAAAGTACCCATAGCAGTCACTTATCATCACAACACACCCACTGGAGATTCACTCTTTTCTTGACAGTTCTGCAGCTGCAATTACTCATTTACCTCATCAAATGAGTATCTGAAACAAGCATGACTTCTTTCCTGTTTCTTTATCTAGCTGGGGCTCCTTCCCCTGCAAAGGATACATTTCCTGGTTCAAAACTCTCCTTCAGGACAGAAATCAGAATTAGTGGTAAATGATCTGTATTAAAAAAAAAAAAAAAGCAAACAACAAAAAACCTATTTCATTTAGGCCCACAGGTTCTGACCATATGGGTTTTGTGTTTATTTCTCAAATAGATGGACTCGTCTGTATATGTGAATAGCATCTTCTACTGCAACTAGTTTTTAAGAGATTATGCCATGATAAATGCTTAATATCCTTACTTCACTCAACAGTAGTTACAGGGCAGAGAAAGTTAAACTGGACAACAACAGTTTTTAAAAGTGCCCATAACAGACAAATACGCTCCTCGGAAGGAAATGTAGCTCATTTAGCACCCACTACACCACTGTATATGTTCAGGTTGCTACTTCAGTCCTGGGCACCACAGACACAGCAGGTTTCCAAAACTCTTCCCAGGTAAACCACATCTACGAAAATACTTCTAGCAGACTTCTGCATTTTCCACGTACAGCTCTACTTCCCTCCAGCACACAGAAACCGGTCCTGGCTCTCCCTTTAATAGAGGGAGGGCAGAAGAGCTTTTTTAGGTACCTTCCTTCTCCTGAAATTTGCACTGCCAGCACAGAGGTTTCAAGCACCTTCTGCATCACCACCATTTTCATCGCTGCTCCCACAGTCCTTTGTATTTAATTCAGCAGCTAGCTTTGGCGATTTCTGTTGATACAACAGTAGTATTAGTTTTCTGGTTTACACAGCCTACACTGGGTCATTTGCCTCCTAGAAAAAAAATACCCTGCCCCATCCCAAAGACCCCTCAGAAATAGCTTTTGAGTAAGCCACTCCACCACATTAGAAACACACCTCTATAACAAAGTCCAGCTATCATTTGCGGAAGTTTCCTAACTAACCACAATTAGAGTTGGATCAAACAAGGTCCATGCATAAAGCGCTATCATTTTCCTGAAAAATATGTTGTAGAAACATATAAAACAATAATCTTCCCATTTCAGAAGGAGAACTTGGTTTCTGTAGTACTGGTTGGGTACCTTCTGTCAGCTGTCAACAGAAGAGTTTCTAAAGCTTCTGGGTTTGGCAGAAAAACGTAAGTCTACCTTTGGTTCTCTGGGGAAACGAGCTTCCTGTTCCACACAGACCCTCTCTGCAGCTCCCAAACATCAGTGCTTCAAGGGCATTTTCACTCTGAACTCTTAAATGCTCAAAGTTTTAGCCGTGCCAGTCATCTAATTAACAGGGATCCTCTCACAAGCAAGATGCTATCACTGACAGAAATAAGGGAGACAACAAACACAGCTCTGAGCACTTAATCCAGGAAACAAAGTAAAAATTAAGACAAAATTCAGCATGTATTTCCCTCCATTGTTCCTTAAAAAAAACACAACCAAACAAAAAAAAACCCAACAAACCGAAAACCACCAACCTTTTAATCTGAACAGGTTTCATTATAGAAAAGTAAGTCTGCACTTTAAGATCTTTCTGGCATGAAAAGCGCCCTGAGAAGGCACGAGTGAACACACACATCTGTAAACGACTCACTTGCATGGGATTGATTTTCAGCAGGTTCCAGAAGTAACATTTGGCAAGCCTGAATAAGCAAACTACCCAGACTCCCAACATCCAAAAGGGAGCTTTTGTCATCTCTAGCATCATGCAGAACTAAATATTTTTCTTTCTAATAATCACCAATTAGAAGCCCAGGATCAGCAGATCACTCAGCTCTTTCTTCCCAACAGCGAAACAATCCCCAAACTACTCTGTTAGACAAGTCTGAAAGTCTGACTCGGACATTGTCTTTTGAAAACAAACCAACTATTATTCCCATGGCATCTTTATCACAATGGTCCATACAAGATTAATTCAGTTTTTACCAAAGAAATGCAACCCCCCTGCCCTCCTCATTCACCACTGCTCTCTCACTGTGGTTGAAACTCACTCTTTTACTGGCCAAGAGCCTTAGAACTTTATTTTCTTCCCAAGGGAACGCAGTTGCACAGAAAGCACACCCGCCGTTCTGAAACACCAGGACTACGTCTTCACCTGAGGACACAAATTAAAAGACTTGAAGACAACCACCTTTAAGTCCCCGTTCCTCCACCATCCGTTTGGTATTTCGGCTGTGGAAAGTCGCAGCTTACAGACGTTGAAAGAGAAGGCTGCACGACCACAGAACTGCCCCGTGTTCCTTAAGACCTTTAACACACTGTAAAGTTTCAAAGGAATTCTAACACAAGATATTACAGCTAAGGAATGCTTGTAAAGCTCAGTCTGCATCTACCTCTGGTCCCATTTTATAATCAAGACTAAGTTCCTCAGGCCAAATGCCATCAGTTCTCCTTGCTCGTACAGCACCCGGCACAGAGGAGCATGCTCCCCATCACGGGGGCTCCGCGCTGCCACAGCACGCTGTAGAAAGTCTGTTGTAAAATGGGAGAAAACTGCCTGCAGCTCCCTGGGACGACAGTCAAGGGAGATGTGTCAGTTCCACAAGCGGGGCACAGAAAGTCGGCCGCGGCGAGAAGAGATAGGAGGATTCCCGGGTCACAAGATCTGCTGAAATTACTCTACTGCTGCTACTCCCCTTCCACTCACTGCTTACTACGTTCTGTTACAGACAAGTAAAAACTAATTTTGTTCATCAAGCTGTACCTATTCTAATTTTTAAAGTCTTTGCTCATCAGAGAAAAACAAAACAACAACAAACAAAACTTTTCTATGCATGATTACACGAATTCTGACAACAGACAGGCCTAGCAACCACTGAATAAAAATAATATTGGATAACTCAACAGCTGTCTTCAGAGAGAGCTTGACAAATTCGTTCATCGCTGAAATTTTGACACTTAAAAAACTATTTTAACGCTCCTGAGACAAAACCTGGTTCTTCTTTGCTCTTGTGTGATGCTGTATTTGAATCACATTTGGAAAAATAAATAGCACTGTACCAAGTTAAGCTTTGTAACTGAAAATACTGATCAGAATTGTTTTGGTGGAAGGGCTCAGGGGCCAACAGCACAGCTCTCGATGTGTCATACACACAGTGAAAATCCCAGGGTGTTCTCTTTTCTTCTGAATTCAACTAATCTCCTTTCTGCATTACACAACAGTTCGTGTAATCCTAAATTTATCACACTAGTCCACTGTCATAACAGTTCTAGGTTTCACAAAGAGTGAGATCATGCCTTATCTTTGCCCCTTTCATGACAGAAAACTTAATTTGTCTTTCAACAAGTCTGAAAAATAAGCGAACATTGCATCCAGGAAATTTTGGCATCAAGGCAGTAGCCCTTTCCTCGGGATTCTCCCAAACACAAACCCACAACCACACCACTTCAGAATTCAAACAGTTCCTTGCTCATTACATTAGAAAATAATCTAAATGTTCATTCGGTCTCGTATAAGGAAGTTGAAATCCTAAATGTTAACCGAAGACTAGGGTGATTAGCCAGAGCGAAAGACACTGGCAGCACCGCGCCGTTATCACGGGGCGAAGCCACCACAAAATCAAAGCAGCAGAACAGGTCCGGTGCTGAGGTGGTCAGCCAGTACCTGTCGACGTGCTGAGCAAACCCAGCAGCGTATTTCACATTTCAGTCCTTCCCTTTACATACTCAGTCATTTTTTTTTTTTTTTTTCATTTCTATAAAGCACATCCTCCTGAGTTTGCAGCAGAGATGATCACCTCTTTCCTCCATCTCATCCTCTTTACCAGTTTAAGCCCCATCCCACCACCCCAAACCCTCCAAAACTTTCAACATCCCTCTTTCAGACACATTTCCTCACGCCTTCCCTCCCTTCCGCTCAGCTCCCTGCGCTCCTCCAGCACATCAATACCTCAGGCTGACGACTCCCGGCTTCCTAAGCAGTAAACACCCTCTGTTTTGATCCCAATTCCTTCCAAATCCTCCTGCAGGCAGAGCGGGCGCTACCCCAGGCCCTCAGCAGATGCTCAGCGCAAGCAGCCAACCCCAACCCCCCCTCCCTCCCCCCAAAACACCACTTGCTTCTTCATCCTCAGCGCCCGGACGGGTGAGGCGGTCCCCTCGGCTGCGTAGCTCAGGAAAGCACCTCACCTTGCTCTTTGCAAACAAGAAAATTAATCTTTGCTCTTTTTGTGCTAACACACACACACACACACGCCCCCCCCCCCGCTCTTGCTAGTTACGAGAAAACACATTCACAAAACAAAACGCAGCCCCCCCACCCTCACCCAACACCCGGATGATACCCACCACCCTCCGCAGCCAAATCCCCCAACCCAACAGGCAATGAAGCACCACAGGTGGGGGGGGGGGGGGGGGGGAGGATCCAACGGGCCTCTCCGCACCCAGCGGCCTCCTTTGTGCGCCCCAAGTCCCACCCACCCCCCAAAAACACCCACAGGGGCGGGGAGCCCCCCTCCCTCCCCCGGCTGAGGGGCCTCCCCGCCCGGGAGAGGCCTAAAGGCCGTGGATTCCCTCAGGAGAGGTTGGGGGGGGGGGGGGGGTTGGGAGAGGGAGTGCGAGCGACCGTTAAAGGGCCCTTAAAGGGGGGGGGCGGTGCGCGCGCGCTTCCCAACACCCCCACCCCCACCCCCCCCCCCGTTTCCCTCCCCTCGCGCCGGCGGACGGGCGCGTGCGTGAGGGGAAGGCGCGCGCCCAGGCCCCGGCGGGAAACGCGCGGAGGCGGGGGCGGGAATATTTCGGTGTCCGCAGGGGACCGATCGCGCCCGCCGGTGCCTCTCACCTCAATGGCGGGGAAGCGGCTCCTCCTCGCCTCCCACCTTCGACCTTTTTCGCAGAGTCCGGTTGGGTTGTTTTTTTTTTTTTTTTTTTAAAAATTTATCTCGATTTTTTTTTTTTTTTTTTTTTTTTTTGGTTTGTTTTAAACACCCCTCCCTCCCCCCCTTTCCTGACCCTAAACCTTTCCGTTCGGCCCGTCGTTCCCGCTCCGGTTCTCCCACCCCCTCCCGCCCTCCCCCCGCTGCCGCCGCCGCCGGGCCCCACCAGACGCCGGCCACGCCCCCCGCCGTCACGGCGCGGCCACGCCCCGCTCCGCCGCCGTAACCACGCCCCTCATCGCCATAGCCACGCCCGCCAACCATTGACCACGCCACTCACTAGCTTAACCACGCCCCCGCCGCCATAGCCACGCCCTTCCCGCTGTGACCACGCCCCTTACTTGCTCCTAGCGCGCTTTGACCACGCCCCCCGTGGGAGGGACGGAAGCGGCGCGGTGGGAACACGTGGAGCGGGAATTTGGGGGGGAGGAGGGAGGGGGGGTCCCGGGGCACGGAGCGTGTCGGGGTGTCGCGGGGGTGGGCGGAAAGGGCAGCGACCGCCGTGAGGTTCAGGGGGGAACCGTGCGCTGGGAGCCCGGGGTCTGAGTGGGGAAAACCTGGGCGCCTTGGGGTGATAGAGGCGACTGGGGTAACCGGAGCTGCGGGACCAGGAGCGGACCAGCCACCGGGAGCCCTGGGCACAGAGAGGGGGCATGGGTGGGGAGGGCTCCCCGGGAGGAGAGCGAGAGCGGCAGGGCAGGGAAGAAGGGGCAGCTGGTACCCACAGCCCAAGGGATCTTTTCCTTTTTTCCCCCTCAGGCACGCCCCACACCGCTCCTGCCTGCACGGCCGTGGGGTGGGATGCTGCGGAGCCTGGGCGCATGGGACCCAGAGAGTCAGGGCTTACCGCGTGGCAACGGAGCAAATTAACAAAGCAAAGTCATTAGCGTCTTCTCCCCCGCCCCGGTGCGGAGGAAGCCGTGGGCAGCAAAGGACGCGGCGGCTCCAGTGCTGGCGGGAGCAGAGGGGGACAGCGGAAGGCAGCCAAGCTGCCCCGGCCCCGCTCCCAAAATCCCGGGGAAGCCCTGCGAGGGAAGAGGCCGCGTCGGAAAGGAGAGCGGCCCTGAGAAGAAAGGTCTGGGTGGGAAACCAGAGCGAGAAGCAAGGAAGGAAGGAGCAGAAATAGGACAGGGGGAAGGCAGCCCCTGCTCGCCCACTTTCTGAGGCTGAGCACCGCGCACACACCGGCCTCTTCCAGAGACTTTTCTTGCAGCCATCAGGCTCTGATGCTTTCTGACTCCCCGCTGCTGGCACCCCCAGCCCTCTCCCAGGGGACCTGCACCCCTGTCCCAGGGCCTTTCCCCAGTTGCTGCCTGGCCAAGGGAATAAAGACCAGAGACCTCAGGCTGAATCCCGCCTGCTTTATCAGCCGAGACGCGGCGTCCCACAAGCTCTGGCTCGCAGAGAGCGGCGGCCCCAAGCACGCAGATGTTGGCTGACCCCACACAAGGCCGCCCTGTTCCGTCATCAGTCGCATCCCTCCTCGTCCCTGCTTTTCTGTGCCACCTTCCCACAGCGCCAGCTCCCCCGGAGCGAGGTCTCGGTTTGGCCATGGCCATGCAGAGTGGCCTCAGCCCAGCAAAGAGCGGCTCGTTCGGAAGGGCCGCGGATCCTGGGCGGCAAAAAAAAAAAAAAAATCCCCCTGCATGGGGACGCCGGGGGTTGGAGTGCTGCTCCCCACGTTGTGCCCAAGCCCACGCACCCCGAGGATTCACCGACTCCAAGCCCAGGAAGAACTGGGCAAAAGCCACCAGCAACATCGCCGCGGTCACCCTGCCGGTTTCGGAGCGGGGAGGCAGAGCCGTGGAGCAGGGGTATCTGGCATCTCTCCAAGGGGAAGCTAATCAGACAGGTATTACTTCAATTATACGCCATTATAGGCCCATTACAGGTGCATTTTAAGCAGCCGTAGAGCCAGCAGCTCCTTTCCCCAAGACCTCCCAGTTGTTTCATCCTCTCTTCGCAGGTTGTGACCGCACGTCATCCCCCCAGACACTGCCACCACATTGAGCCAACAACCAAAACCCACATTTAACCCCAACAAGGCACAGCAGACACCAGCCTGGGGGTTCCTGGGACACAGAGGAGACCGAGCCATCCGCCTACGTCTGCCAGAGCCAGGTACGGTGCTTTGCACCAAACCTGAAGCAGGACGGGTCACTGAGCAGCATTTCTGCATGGAAAAAGCAGGAAAACATCCCACTGCCGGAGTAGTTACCCCAGCTCTAGAGCTGCAAAGGACCTGGCAGGTGGATCTTGTCTCTCAAGCATGAGGGATGTTATTTACCTCCCACTACAGCCAGAGCATCTACCAGGAGACCTCCAGTTCTGAGCTCTGCTCCGGGGAGGGAGGGAGGGGGACCCAAAGTCTCACCCAGGCTTGGGAGATGCCCATCTCTCTCCCCTGCCAAGGAGCCTGTGAGGAGCAGCTCCCCTACAGAGATCAATGGTTACTTAATGACTGTACCCTTAGCTAATTAAAATCAATGGTTATTAGCTCCCAACCATGCTTCAGTACAGGCAGGTTGTGTAAGTGCTAGTGGTGATTTGTGATCGGGAAGCAGTGGCTGGGACAGAAGCTCATGTCCAAGCGTCTGTTTGTCACCCAAAACCAAGGACGAGCTTGGGAAACCACATGCTGAACACACATGGGCACGGGGGTTTCATGTGAAAAGAGGGGAAGTAGCAAAATAAAGCGAGGGATCAGCCAGGCAAAGCAGCCTCTGGGTCTTACCGCAGCAAGGTGAGGGGCTTAGACGTGTAGCTGTAGATCTTTTAATTGCGTGGAAGCTGGGAATTGAGCAAATCTCTCCCGTGCCAGAGCTGGGAGAAAGGTAAGGATTGCAACACGCTGCCAGACCATCCCTGCCTCCACCTGCTCTGCGTCACCTCGCGAATCGCCAGCGGGAGGGTGGGGTGATCCCTCCAAGCAGCAGCGCTTGGCACAGCCCTTCGGAACGGGAGGGAAAAGGTGAGGCACGCCCAGCCCGTGGGGCATCCCCCCTGCTTGTACTGACACGCTCTAAGGGCCATTCTTGCAAGTTTTTGCTCTTCTTCCTGGCCTGCGTAGGCTGGGAATGGGGAGGGAGGACAGAGGCATGCAGCAAGCTCTGGGCAGGCTAATCCCCTCGTTGGCATGCAGTTCAACACGCGTCTAAGCTTCCCTTGCGGGTCGCTTTGCTGCACGGCTCCTGGAAGGCACCGGTGAAGCAGTCAGGCTGGTTTGGTGGCACGTCCAGGTCTGGAGGTACCAGCCTCCCCGGCCCCACTCCGCGTTGCTCTTGTAGCCCCACACGGCATCGAGGCATCACAGGACTGCAGCCGACAGCCCTCTTGCAAAAAAGGTGACGTTCTTGTCCTGGATCTTATACTGGTAGATCTGGACGAGATCCTGCTCCGCTGTCAGCTCCAAGGACACTCTCCTAATTATTTTAATCTGCAAAGGGAAAGGAACAGGAATATCATCCCTTTGGCTGCCCCAATCACAGCATCCTCACCCCCCCACGCCTCTTGTTGGCCTGCAGGGAAGAGGGATCACTGATTAAAAAAATCCATCACACAGCTGTAACCAACCCCCTTGGAAGCAGCCCCCGATGAGACGCCACGCAGCAACCAGACCCCAGTAACCCAGCCCAGAAGAGATCGCTGCAAGCCAGGCTGGGATCCACCAACACGATAGTTTGGGGAAGCTTCCCAGGAACTAGCAATTTTTCTTGGCCATTATCCCGGGGTGGGAGTACAAACCCTTTCCAGCTTCCAGAGATGGGGCAGGCCCCGGGTTGCAGGATGTCCCTGAACAGCCCGGGCGCCCCAGGCAGATCCTGGCAACCACAGCAAGGCTGCTCGTTCGTCCTCAGGCATGCTGCAGACCAGGCTGGCCCTGGGCTGTCTCTCACGGGGCAGATGGAGCACACCCCACCTACCCTCGGGCCTGTGGGCAGCGTTATCTGTGACATGACCGTGTGCCACCTCTCTGCGCTCTCCCGGGGGGTTACCTGCCCGTGAACATCCTTGCAGAAGCCGGTCGCCAGCCCCTCCACCCACAGGATCAGGTCACTGTGATGACACAGGGAGTTCACAACCAGTTCGTTTTCCTCGTCTTCCGAATCCTCGTTGCTGTGAACCAGCACCACGATGTTTCCCTGGAAGGAGAGCACCAGACGGTGATGAGCCCCTGGCTGCTCCTAATCTGCTCAGGGTAAGGAAGGGAAGATAACATCTGGAGCTTCACAAATGCCCTGCTAACTAAGCTACTCAGACATCCCCCAGCACAGCTGCTGGTTCTGAGCTAAGGTCCACTGGGAAAATAAACAGCAGATACATACATAAAACTCTGAAACAGCTTCCCGTATATACATTGTATTTACATACACACACACTCATATATATATAACACACAGCCTAAAAATACATCCAGCCTTTGTTACAAGACAGCTGTCTAGTTAAACCAGTCTGTCTAGCCATGCAAATGGCAGCTCTGAATGAATTCAGAACAGCTAAATAAAGACGTGACCGACCGGCCACAGCCAGAGCTGTGATGCTCGAACCTTCACAGCTCTGGCAAGAAGCAAAGAGCTCCCCAGCGCAACGCTGGCTCTATTAAAAACACATCCCAAGAGTCTCTGCCTCAGCCCATGCAGGTCACCAAGGACTTAAAATAACATGAAATTCCCAATCAATTAAAATGTACTTTTAAAGCTTCAGAACATCTTAGACAGAAATATAAACATGTTAGCATGATTTATCATCTTTTTTAGCTGTTTTGGAGGTAAATATTCTCAGCGAGCAGAATATCCCTTGTCAGCATTTCCAGCGCAAACACCCTGGCACTATATGAAGTGGAGGATAACAAAACCTGACACCATTTATTTTATTTCTCACTCAAGCAGAGAGAGAAGTGGCCAGGGTGGGGGACGCCACAATGTAAATAGCAAAGGATGGCTGGGACTGATTTTTGGCAGTGGTGCTCTCAGAGGTTAGCACATCACTGGGGAGAGCTTTGTAGAAGTGCTGCATCATCACACATCCTTAGAAACCAGCCGGTACACACACAGCAAGGCCAAAGAGTGGTGGAAGCAGCGACTCACGTTCCCTCCAAGTGTGCCTTCATCTCTGTCTCCTGCAAGACCCACCAGCCCCTCAATACCTTCATAATCCCCTTCCTTCCCTGCCCGCCCACAAACATGGATGTGAGCAGAGAACTCTGGAGGGCGAGGAGCAGCAAGAAACAGTATTTTACCCCTCAAGTCCCTGCTCACATGTCAGGGACAGAGAGAGCCCTTCTCTGGGCAGCACCTCCCGGGAAACCAGCTGCAAAGGACCCTACACGGGTTCTCCAGGGACTAACACAACACCCTGAGTGTGGCCCTAGAGCAGTGACTTTGGGCAGCCAAAGCCTTTCAACACCTCCTCACGCACAGGTGGAAAAAGAAAGCCAGGCTTTGCTGCAGAGGCTGCCGGCACAGGTAGCGTGCAGGACGCTGGGTGCGGAGCAGTACCTTCAGCTGGGAGCACACCGTGACCCTGCAGTAGTGGATGAAGTCCAGCACGGCCACTGGCGTGGCGCCCAGGCTGAGCAGGACGCTGAGGTCATCCACCAGCAGCACGGGGCCCTCCCAGGAGTCGCCGCCGGTGGGACTCAGGGACGTCCGGACGAACTCAAACAAGGCTTTGAGGTCGGAAGCGCTCTCACTGAAAAAGGAGGAAATCTCAACGGGTTTGCCCCACGCGCACGTTGTGCATCCCCCCTCCTCACCCACTGACCCAACGCGGGGAATGCCAGCCTGTGCCCTCCCTGCTGTGACAGTCACCAGGACTTGCACTTCCCTACAGCCACAGCTCCTTTGCTTGCTTGAATGTGGTGAAACCTTCCTGCCCTGCTCCAGGGATCAAAGAACAGTTTGGGTGGGAAGGGACCTCAAAGCCCCCCCAGTGCCCCCCCCTGCCCAGGGCAGGGCCCCCTTCCCCCAGCCCAGGGGGCTCCCAGCCCCGTCCAACCTGGCCTTGAACCCTTCCAGGGAGGGGGCACCCACAGCTGCTCTGGGCACCCTGGGCCAGCGCCTCACCCCCCGCACAGGGAACAATTTCTGCCTTACATCTCACCTAAATCTGCCCTCTGACAGCTTAAACCCGTCCCCCCTCGTCCTACCCCCACACCCCCTGATCTAGAGTCCCCCCCCACCTCCCCTGTCCCCCCTTTAAGCCCTGGGAGGCCGCTCGAAGGGCTCCCCGGAGCCTTCTCTTCTCCAGGCTGAACCCCCCCAACTCTCTCAGCCCGGCCCCCCAGGGGAGCTGCTCCAGCCCCCCCAGCATCTCCGTGGCCTCCTCTGGCCCCGCTCGAGCAGCTCCGGGTCCTTCTGCTGTTGGGGGCCCCCGAGCTGGCCCCAGCACTGCAGGGGGGTCTCCCCAGAGCAGAGCAGAGGGGGAGAATCCCCTCCCTGGCCCTGCTGCCCCCCCTGCTCTGGCTGCAGCCCAGGGCACGGGTGGGTTCTGGGCTGCCAGCGCACGGGGCTGCCTCACGGGCAGTTTTCCCCCCCCCAGCACCCCCAGTCCCTCTCCTTGGGGCTGCTCTCCAGCCACCCCTCGAGGGCCCAGCCTGGGTCTGTGCTGGGGATTGCCCCGACCCACGGGCAGCACCTTGCCCTCGGCCTTGCTGAACTCCAGGAGGTTCACATGAGCCCACTTCTTGAGCTTATCTAGCGTTTGATCCTGTTGCACCCCACCTACACCCACTCACCCAGACCCAAAGGGCTGCACGGCCCTGCAGCACAGGGGTCTGTGGGGTGTCAGAACCTGCCCTGGATCTCACCAAAGGCCCATCTACCCCAGCACAAGTCTGAAACAGCAGGGAAGCAGGAGCATAGAGGAACAGAGCAAGTACGTGGCCATCCTTGCCCAGAGGCTGCTTCACTCAGAGGTGGTATCTTCCAATTTAGCAGCCCTCAGTGGATTTTTTCTATCAAATCATCAGTGACATGGAGAAAGTGAAGTGGGAATAAATATGAAAGCCAGCATGGTTAAAGCAACACTTATCATGGATGAGAACAGAACTCAGAAAAAATAATAAAAAAAGGAATAAAACTGCTTGGATAGAGTTTTATTTGACACAAACCTGCTGAGTGTTGAAATAAATTTTCTCTAGACCTGTAACATGCTTAGCAATGAGGATGGGGACGGAAATTGCCCTAAAATGATGGAGAAAGGGGAGAGAATCCCTCTCCAAGCAGCCAGGAGACACAGGGCAGGATAAGCACAGCAATGTGCACGGCGCTGACACTTCTCTTCACTTACATGTCCAGCTACCGAGTCCTTGGGCCCCCGAGGGAAGCCCAAAGGGAGCTGGGTCTCAGCCGTGGGCTTGCTGCTGCTCTCAGTGTTGGCTGCAGTGGCAGGGGACACGAGAAGGGAAAAGATCTGTGCTAGGGGCCCTGCTGAGCCCCAGCAGAACCACCAACTGCTCCCATTTACCTTATAAATTGAAGAGGACTGGGCTGCCCAGACTGCTCCTCCTCTCCAAACAAGAGATCAAGGCAGGACTTAAGGCCTTCCAAGAAGACAAGCTGTCCCCGTTCTTTGGCAGCTGTCAGGCTGACTCCCTCGAGAGAGGAAAAACATGATGTTGTAGAGCAAACAGCTTTGGAGAAAGGGTGCAAACAGAACCAAGCAAACTGACAGCCAATTTTTATCAAGTCTTCTCTAAACGTGCTAATAAAGTCAGTGCTTCAGTGAGTCCTGCACAGGGGATGAGACAGGCAGTTCCATTACACACACTGTTAGACACATTCGGTCTCCTGTATTTTGCCAGGAGATCTAAAAAAACCCACTGTGATTTGGGGCCTCAAACATCCTGGAACTGCTCCTGGGAAGACAGCCTCGTTGCATGGGAGGAAAAACAGGGAGAAGATGGGTACAGGCTTCTCCAAGCTGCCCCAAGGACCCTGCTGTGAGCAATTTCCTCACCTTCCCTTCTTGGGTGGCGAAAACCTATGTTTTTATCTCCAAATCATCACTGTGGCAGGAATGACTCACCCGAGCGAGGCACAGCCTGGGTCTGGAGAACACTGTGAATTGGGCACCCCAATGCTCACACAACGCCTGGGAGAGAGCAGCCTGGCCGGGGCTCCCAGGGGAAGCAGCCTCAGCCCCGACTCCCCTTCGGAGAAAGAAAGAGGGACCACGAGAAACTGCCTGGGGCTGCGACTCAAACTCAAGCCAAGATTTCCAGCGCTCATCCCTGCTTCACAATGAGGCTCACTTCGAGAGCCACGTGCTGGGCACGTCCAGCCCCAACACAGAAAGCCCTGGCAGAGTTGCAGTGGACACACAGAAGACCCCAACTGGAAATCTAGCTCATGATCTCCTGTCTCATCCTCCTTTCTTTCCTCAGCAAAGGCTACTTTTGCTAACCCTTCTATAGCTCCTCAGCTTACTGCATCAGTCCACCTTTCATGAGAAAATTTAGTACCTCTTACTGGCATGATCATACAAAGATATCTCATGCGCACGATCTCCAAACCTCGGCCAAACTGTACATTTCCCAGTAGGAAGAAGTGCAAATTTGCTCAGCCTTCCAGTGTGGGTTGCTTCCCACATTTCACAATGGGACTGTGATTTCTTAAAATGGAACCAAGGAGCATTAACGCCAAGATTCGCAGCCTGGAAGTAGGGCTGTTGTGCAACGCAGCAGGTAGGTGGACAAGATGGTGAGATAGCTGGTTTACAAAGTGCTCGGGAAGGTTTAGCTCAATGCAGTGTTGCTTGACAGGCAGGACCGGTGAGCCAGAGGCAGGGAACCAGAAGCAAGGATCCTGAGAAAGCAGTTCCCATATTCTCCGAGAGAAGACATCCCTTCGGGATGCCGCGAGACTCTGAACCCTCCAAAGGCTGAGCAGGACTGGTCAGAACAGAGGTAAGTCCTAGAGCAGGAGCAGGAGCCCTTACCTGAAGCCAGGACTGGTTTCTGCCTGAACACTGGAAGAGGCACACACCAGTCAGCAGCACTGACCAGGAACTTTTTAAGCATCACAGAAAATACAGATTTTTACTTATTTCCTAAGCAATGGTGCTGGGAGCTGCAGGACACTTGAGCACAGAGTCTGAGCTGCCCAGCAAGAGGAAGGCTCGTAGCAGCCCAGGACCTCGAGCACTGAACAGGGCGCTCTGCTTGGCACTGTCCCCACACCTTTTGAAAAGCCCTTGGAAGTTTCCCAAGCACTTCTCAGTCCTCACGACATCCCCGAGAGCCACCACGCTCTTACCTGGAAGTGCCAACATTTTAAAGCCCCCCTTTTTCTTATCTTTTTTTAATTAAAAAAGATGTAAAGCCACACCTTAAGCATCTGATCAATGAGACAATCCCTACCAAGGGCTGGGCCCAGCTGCTCTGTGAGCCTAAGCATTTCCACATGAGGATTTCCAGAGAGAAGTTCTCAGCAGACAAGGAAGAGGTCCTTTCCACAAAGATTAACCCAGAGCTCTGCCAAGGCTTATCAGTTGCCACGCGTTCAGTGCTAATGAGAGGAAAGACAGATTTCCACTGCTTTCCCTCCCCGCTGAAATGCGAGGGGGAGGGATCCATTCACCAGGGCTGCTGCCAGAAAACAACAGATCAGAGGCAACGTCTTCCATCGCGGCCACGGGATGCTTTGGCACGCAGAGGCTACGCTGGGGTGAAGGCTGTCTGACGTGTGCCCACCTCAGATCCAGTTTTTAAATCAGCCCTGAGCTTGCTCTTCCACACGTGCTTCTGGGAGGAAACTGGTCCCACCTGCCACAAAAAGCTCCGGGAAGGAGAGCTTCAGGCGAGGCACCAGCCGGCACTTTTGGCACACGTCCCTTTTGTTTTCAAGCACCTTCTCAACATTGCAACACGCTCTTGCCTCACCTCATCCATTTTGTCTCCTCTCTCTTCCCCTTCTCCCAGGCAAGCCAGGAGCAGCAATTCCCATGAATGGGAATCTTGCAGAGCATGAGGCCCTTCGCTCTCTCTGCCACACCATCCGCCAGCCCCGAGCCCAGCAGAGGCTGATATGGGCTGTGGGCAGAGGGACTCGGCTTTTGCAGGAGATATTTGCTCACTAAAACCATGCCAGAAAGCAGGGCAGGAACAGAGAGCTAAGGGAAGCCTCTTGGGAAATTGCAAGCACACACGGTGGAAAAATTTCTAGGCAAGGACAGAGGAACCTTTATGTGGCAGGCCAGGAGCAGGAAACAGCCGGCAAATACCTGATGTGTCATAAAACAGGGCTGGGTGTCATGGCAGTCTCACCAACCTCATCCCCTTGTGAATTTTTGGAGTCCACAGGACTCAGCACTTGCTGAAATGCTTTGTTACAGCAGTGGCTAAATTCACTATTAATGTCAATAACCTCGAAACTGATTTTAGCTTTGCTTCAGCCATTTCCTTCCACACGCACAAACTCTCTATACTTCAGATCAGCAAGAAAACGGTGTCCCCTCTTTAAAATACCCAGCAGCTTGGTGCTGTTAACACCAGAGCCTGCCGGGGTGACAAAGAGAAGAGCCACAGCACAACAGGAAGGCAGCCAGGGGCAGTGTGCTTGTGGGTCAAACCAGGGATTGGAGCCCCTCAGGGCCATGACGCTCCTGGGTGGATCCAGTAAGTCCAGTCTCATTTTCCAACTGGGGAACCAGGTCCCAAAGAGACAGCACTGGAGACCTGGACTCGCCCCACTGCAGTCATCTGCCACGGCAAACCTCTGCTTGTCTCCCAGCTGGGAGCCTGCCCGATGTAATCTCTGGAAGCAGTACAGGATGCGTCAGGACAGCTCGGAGAAGGTGGAAAAAGCGCTCAAAATGGCCAACGGCACCTTCCTGCCTGCGACAGACACCACACACGTCCCTCCTGCAGAGCCACGGTGCTGCAGAGCACCCAAACAGCGCGCGTTACCAGCCCTGAAAGCTTTCATTATCTCACAGCACCACGCTCCATTATCACCGGGAGCACACAGACATTTATCTCTGGCAATCTGTCATTTATCGATCAAGCCCAGAAATGCCTCTGAAACAGCAGCTCAGCGTGACTGGAGCTGCGGGCTCCGCAACAGAGCACAATTGTTCTCGTCCGTCCGGGGTGCTGCCAGCCGGGCAGCGTGGCAGCCCACCAGCACTGACGTCCCTTCAAACCAGAACCGCCGCTGGCCGTTTCATAAAGGAAAGCAAAATATTTGCAGGAGAGAACTAGTAATGGAGCGTGCGAGGCAGCGGTCATTAGCTCAAAGAGTGAACACGGCCGTGGTACAAAGGGCGACGATCTGTGATCAGGCAGCTGGCCAAGGTCTCTTCTCTAGTACAACTACCTGCAGGGAAAGCAGAGGTGACCAGATGTCCTCTGGTCTGTGATCTCAGCGCTATGGCAGGGGACAGGGAAGCAGGCAAGAGGGAGACCAAACGGGCACAAATATGTTTTTCCTTTAAAACAAAACAAACGTTGTACAAATGAGGGTGGGAACACCAATCTGGCGAGCTGCCCTGGTGCCATTAGCCTTGCTGTGGCCCAGCATGTTCTCTACAAGGTCATGACAAATAACATTAACTGTCCCTTAAAATTAAGTGCAGATCCTCATGAAAAGAGCGGGATTTGCAGAAAAGGAAAAGTGCGAAGCCAGCGTTGCAGAGCCAGCACAGGCACAAAAACCCAGGGAAGCTTTTTCCTGAGCGTAAAAATACATCACTGCATTTAGCTAACTCATAAGGAACTGGTCCTGAACTGGTAAGATCTGGCAACACTGCGGGGAAGCAGCATGTAAGGTAAACATAACATCAACTATGTATAAATATTCCGTATATCACTATATATCAGGTGCTACAAGGACCAGATCCACAAAACATCACTGTAAAGGCTGCATAATATAACCCTGGCTCCAGGACCCTTCCTCCCAGGCCTGGGACACCCCATTCCCAGCAGAAACAGGAGCATCCCTAAACTCTGAAGCTCTTCCAGCTGCAGTCTTTCCTAAGTGCATAATCTGCTAGGAATGATTATGCATGGGAGATTTAACCCATGGATGGGAGAACATAACAGAGGCGGCTGCCCACGGGCCAGATTCTTCCAAGCAGTTCCCAGAGGAACTACAGCCCGACCCCCTGCAACTCTCCTGGCCAACCCAGAGAGCCTGGCAGCTGGTCTTGAGCTCGCCACCGAGGAAGAGGAGGTGGGAAGGGAGCGGCCGGTCTTTTGGCAGAGCACACAGCTCACCTAACTGCAGCACGACACAGCTCTGAAATAGGGGTTTGGTGCAGCCACGTAAATGACATCCCAGCTGGTCTCTGCAGCAGCAAATTCTTAAGCAAGCCTAAGAGTGAAACTACCCTGCTAAAACCCACCTTTTACTGAGCCTGATGCGTCCATTCGGGCAAAGGAGGATTAAAGCAAAGACAAGACCTTATGGAAACTCAGACAGATATAAATAACTGATGTGACGACCTCCAACTCCTCAGAGCTTAGGGAGAATTCACACAAACCGACCACACAGGCACCTGTGGAGTTATAATGTAAGACTGACTCAGGTGTGAAACCAACGGGACAAGGACAGCTCACCGCTGTAGGCAAATGTAATCACTCCTCTGAACTCCCCTGGGCAAACTGTATTGTTCTTCTTATCACCTCCCTTCACGTCAGTAACCTTTCTGTGGAAGCATCAGACAGCAAATCATTTCAATTTGCATTGCACATGTGTTCCAGCTAATCCTCATGTTCTCTCCCTTCTCAGACTCTCCCACGAGGGAGATGACAACAGCACCTATTAAAAGCACACGCACAAGCTGTGCACCAGGAAATTTCACCACATTAGGAAACACACCAATAAACATGATTCTGCTTTTAGCGCAGGCAAGGATCCCATATTTAACAGCTGAATCTCCTACCTACACTGGTTGCTACGGCCCTTTTCCTGTCCCACTCAGCAAGTTCCCCCCAAAATTTCCTCCTCTCTGCAACACGAAGGCCAGGACGATTCAGTCCTCAGAGGCTGGTTTTTGCTCAACACTGGGGAATCTGCTCTGCAGGGGAAGAATCGCATGTTGAGTGTCTGCTTGTGAGTTAAAGCTCTGGGTGGAAATGGTTTGTTTGCTCAGTCCATTTTATTTACCTCAGGTCTGAGCTCTCCGACCACTGATCTCCTTTCAAAAGGTAAAAACTGACTAGTAAATAAAACACTATTGTTTAGTGAGCACCAAAACTCAACCCACATTTACAGTGGGGAGCACACCGTTTATTGCAATACCCAGTTCTTCAACACCTGAAAGTCTTTATAAGCAGCAGCACTGCAGGGATTGTCAGCAGCACCAGAGGAGGGAGGTCCAACGCAATCCCTCGCCCCTTCGGCCCTGGAAGGTCACCTGGACTTCCCAGCCCAAGCATTTCACATCTAAGCACTGTACAAAAAGCTGAGAGATGCAGTTTAAAGCCAGAGCTCAGACTGATTCGCTGACACTGGGAATGACCCTGCCTACTTTTGTTTCTCTGTTTCCTCATTTCAGCGTACATATAATCCTTGCCTGACTCAGCACGGGAAGAAAATCTGTAAGAACATACTCAGAGCTTGTGGCTCCTCAGAACAGCTCGAAGTGATGGCTTGATGCAGAGGCCAAAAAGAGGCGTACAGGTGTCCTTCCAAATCTACAGGTGATTCAGCCCAAGCACTCATCACAACGTAACCACAGGACAGAAGATAAAATCACCTCAGGAGCTCCGGTGCTGTGCAGCCAGTGCATCCTGCAGGCACACAGAGAGGCCCTAGGAACACAGACACCGTGGCATTTTGCTCCCCAGAGCACTAATGAAACTACATCTACCAGTCTGGGCCTGTCTGGGGAATGCTGATCTGCAGAAAACATTTCTAAGCACAAAGAAAGCAAGCAGCTGTTCTCTTGGGGACAGAGCCCTGCGGAGCTCGGGCAGTGAGACTCATAGCCAGGTTTTTGCCCTGTATCGCATCCCTTCTCCAGCAAGAAATGCTCTCTATTCCCTGCCACAGGAGGGAATAGACTGTCAATCCTGACTGTCCCCGTCAAGATCTGGAAACGTTTGCTCACATGCAATTCCTGTTCCCCGTTCTCATTCCTTTCCACCCAACAGAAACTACCTGGACCTGTAATTATTAACCTATGCCAAGAGACTTACCAGCTTCTGTGCGACGATGTTATAGTGACTGAAGGACTGGAGCAGGGCCACAAAGCAAACCTTACAGCCAGCTGGGTGAGAAGACGAAAAGACACATTATCATTTCAGTTTTTCAAGCTCCCATTATCAAAGCACATCAAACACAGCAGCCAGGGTACAAATATCTCTGGAAAGGCCTTGAAGCGAGACAGGTCTAAGCAGCCCCTCACTTGCTCGTGTGGCTGGGCTTTCCATTTTCACCTTTCTGTAGGATTTCCGCATGAGGGAAAATGTTAGTCAGTTTAAAAAGAAAGGAAAATAAGAAGGAAAAGATGACATAAAAAAAGTAGGAGGCCCCTTTTCTGTCTCGTGCCATCCTGCCCTGGGATCTCCTGGCACTGTTTGTTGGTATTACTGCAAGAAGGCCAACGGCCGACCGTGACACAAACTACTGAAACCACTGATGTGCCAAAAATTCTTATTTTGGCTCTTGTAGGGCAAGTGACCTTGACTGGAAAAACACACAGAACAAGCACTTTTGACAAAGACTCCACTAAAATGTGATTTTTGGAAAACCCGGCATGTGACAACCTGGCCCTATGGTTTGGGTAGGAACAAAATCAGTATTTGTTTCTCCCTGCCAGAGAGCAGGACATGGATTTCAAGTGGAACAAGTCAGTGGCCCCACTTGAACCTTCACCGACCCCTTGGGAGCTGCCAAAAGATTTGAGCATCAAGCAGGTACCTGGACAAGCTGGGGGTGCTACAGACCCAGAGTAGCTGGCACCCAGGTCCCCGGGTGGAAATGAGAAGGTGACAGCAAGCACACCAACCCTGGGATGCAGTAATAATCCCAAAGGGCTGCCCACCCACATGGGACAGTGAGATTTCTCACAGGCAGATGCGCAGCTCCGTGCAGCGCCCCCCAGGACAGTGCTGCAGGTCAGCACAGGAGCAGAGCCACAGGGGGGACACGGGCAGACCCTGAGGCCGTGCCTCGGCAGGGCTGTCCCTCTGAGCCCTTCACACTGCTAATAACCTGCCTTCCATGGGCTTTCCTGCAGTTTCACTCAGTTCCATTAATCACAGAATCATAGACTGGTTTGGGCTGGGAGGGACCTTAAAGCCCCTCCAGTGCCCCCCCCTGCCCCGGGCAGGGCCCCCTTCCCCCAGCCCAGGGGGCTCCCAGCCCCGTCCAACCTGGCCTTGAACCCTTCCAGGGAGGGGGCACCCACAGCTGCTCTGGGCACCCTGGGCCAGCGCCTCACCCCCCGCACAGGGAACAATTTCTGCCTTAGATCTCACCTAAATCTGCCCTTTGGCAGCTTAAAACCGTCCCCCCTCGTCCTACCCCCACCCCCTGACCCAGAGTCCCCCCCCACCTCTCCTGTCCCCCCTTTAAGCCCTGGGAGGCCGCTCGAAGGTCCCCCCGGAGCCTTCTCTTCTCCAGGCTGAACCCCCCCAACTCTCTCAGCCCGGCCCCCCAGGGGAGCTGCTCCAGCCCCCCCAGCATCTCCGTGGCCTCCTCTGGCCCCGCTCGAGCAGCTCCGGGTCCTTCTGCTGTTGGGGGCCCCCGAGCTGGCCCCAGCACTGCAGGGGGGTCTCCCCAGAGAGGAGCAGAGGGGGACAATCCCCTCCCTGGCCCTGCTGCCCCCCCTGCTCTGGCTGCAGCCCAGGGCACGGGTGGGTTCTGGGCTGCCAGCGCACGGGGCTGCCTCACGGGCAGTTTTCCCCCCACCAGCCCCCCCAGTCCCTCTCCTTGGGGCTGCTCTCCAGCCGCTCCTCGCCCAGCCTGGGTTTGTGCTTAAGTAAAACATTTTTTTAAAAATGGGGTAAAGCCATAGCTGAGGAAGTGGCCAGTTATGGGGGCAGGATGCTCTCAGCCCCACCACCTGCACAGCACTCTGAGCTAAGTTTCGAGTCTGATAGGTTTCAGATTTGCTGGACTGGCTGCTTTGCCAGCAGAAAGCTGAAAGAGTCCATGAGTCCAGCGCCCACTCCACAGGGGCTAGTAGATTACTCACAGGTGGAACTGTTAGCAAAAAAGCAATTAGGCAACTTGCCAGGCTCTTTGTTTCCTTACTCACTACCAGCCAACGGTTCCTGATATTTTTGATTACATTATAAAACATCTAGCCAGTGAAGGAATTACAGTCAGCACCTCACTGTCAGATGCCCATGTGATTTATTACAGCGTTCACCACACTAATGACGAAACAAGGTGCACAGATGTCACGGGATGTACCCGAGGATATAGAGCAACTCCCAAGAACAAGTCAGGACTGGGATCTGTAAATCCTGACCCCAAAGCTTTGCATTAATCCGAGGATGCCTCATGCTCTGCAAAACCAGCCTCTGCTCACACTTTACGCTGCAGGAACCTCCAAGGAACAGGCAAAGGGAAACCCTTGCCCTGGAGAGTCCTGCTGCTGACATACCTCTGAGGTAGAAGGAGAGGAAATGGTGCACTAGGAAGCTGCCATCCGTCCTGGTGTCTCGCAGCAGCGTGAATTTACCCTGAAAAAGAAGCAGTAAAATAACTTAACATAGGAAGACGAGGGCACAAATTGCTTCCAGTTCCATCTTGGTTGACAAAATGTCTGCTCAGGGTAGGGGAAGCAGCAGGTATTAGTCAGAGAAAGAAGCGGACAAGCAGCGCTCCAGCCACTTGTCCTCTTACACAGGGATGCTGGTGCTCCCTCTGGATACAGCCCATGGGCTGGCATCAGAAGATGTTGAGTTTGCTGCTTTCTGAAAGACTTGTCCACCAGTTACAAGCCCTTGCTCTAGTCCAAGACCCCAGCTGGAGCCCACCAAGAGCCACCTCCTCACACGGAAACGCCCGGCTGCTGCAGAGGACACCAACGAGCAGCACTGCGCTTCCCAGTGCTGGCACAGCCAGAGCAACCCACCTATTTGTGCCCCTGGAGCTGGACACCATCATCATGGATGGCTGTGAGCAATTTCCACCTCCCGGCTTCATCCCCCATCTCCTCCAATTCACAGTCATCTCCAAGTGGCACAGATGGCAGAGGGACACCAGCCACCCACTCTGTGCCCCATCTATTTTCCCAGTGCCATGGCCAGCATCACCTGTGCACTTAAAGTGGCAGCCCTGCTACAGCTGCTGCTCCTCCCGTCCCCAGGATTACCTCAAACATGCCACATTCAGAGCAGAAAACCTTATCATCAAAATATGTGTACTGGAGCAGAGCTCTCTGCACGAAGTATACACCTTGTTTTGATCATGCAGGAAATGAATTCCGTTCATCAGTGCATGCTTGTTATCAGTACCAGTCTCATCAAGGCATTTGTTTCCATTAAAACCTTAGTCAATATGTTTCTTTAATCAATACAAATCATAGAAGGACTGCTTTTAATCACAAAGGACTTATCAATGCTTTTTTTTTTTTTTCCCCAATCTTTTAGAAGAAAAGAAATAACCTTTTGCAGCAACAAGCAATCTACCCATAGGCAATTCACAAGTCATCAATCCGAATTAACTCCCCAGTGCCTAAAACATGTTATAAAGCAGCGTTAATGGAACGGCAAATATTGAACACGTCTGCAGGGAATGCAAAGCAGAAGCCAGGGTAGAGAAGCACAACTCTGCCTCAGCCACAGAGAGCTCTTTCCCACCCAAAAAAAAAAAGGGTTATGCCTCTGTGGCCATTAGAATAACAGGAGGCACCACTCTGGTGAGCATCTCACTGAGACGTACCCTCCACAGCTAAGCCTGGAGGAGTCTCAGGGTTCAAACAGCACAAGCTCAAACATGCAGTGGTTTATCTTCTGCACGACTCCATCCCCTTCAACTCCCCACGTCCCCACAACGGCCCTCTGCAAGAGCAGGCTGAATGCCACCCCGAGTCCCCTCCCTCGCCTGCTAGCTCCTGAAAGGCTCTCTCCTTTGCTCCCACATACACAGAGAACATGGCAGGATGTTTTAATTCAGAGCATACATTATTTCACTTTTTCAAACCTTCCAGTTAACAACCTTTAAATCCTGCCAACCCTCACTTTGCTGTCATGCAGCAGCTGCTTAGATAGCACTCAAAACTCTTCATTTCTGCTGCTTGGATGCCCAGCTAGCCAGGGGTGGAAATGGCCAAACTGTGCATCTCCAGAGGCAGCAGTTGCACCAAAGCGCAGACGGCAGAAGGAAGGCAGGCAACAACTCCCAGGCAACTCCAGCATCCTGCTTGTGGTCACAGAACTGCCCCAAAGCCTTTACTGACTCCAGAGCACTGGACACAAATGCAGGAATCGGGGTTCTACCAGTTGTGTTGACACAAGGAGGAAAGCACACAAAGCCAGCCGGAATCTGCGAGGCTTCCCAAGGTCTGCAGACCCCTGTGGTCACACTGTCTTCACGCAGGTCTATGCGCCTCTCGCACCCATCCCCACAGATGCCATATATCACATTGTTTAGCAAAAAAACAAAAAAAAAAAGGTCCCTGGTAGACCCGAGGGCGGGTGGCTTCCCCTTGCTGCCAGGCAAGAGGAATTCTCCTGCTGAGGAGTAGGTACATCCTGGCCTCACCAGCACCTTGTTTGCTGGCGTGCAGGAACCCCGTGGGCCCCGATTTGCCACCACAGGTGCACGGTCTGATCCCCTTCCCCCTTCCGCGCATCCTTCTCAAGCCCAGAAAGATGCTGCTGGGGATGAAGCACTTCCAAAGGCAAGCAGCACCTTCTCCACATGCCTGCCCCAGCCCATTGCCTCCACGCTCTGCTTTCACACTCTTTCCACCTGCAGGCTACAAGGCAGAGGCTGCAGCTACTTGTTAGAAAGTGCCAAAATCCCTTGGCAGGGCAGCAGCGGGTGTCACAAGCATTCAGCAGTGACATGTCAGATACACCCACACAGGCGGCAGCTTCATCCACCTACCAGCCCTGCAGTGAAGGCATTTGTCAGCACTTTGAAAACGGCACAAACCAACCGCGGAGACACAGAAATCGGGATGGCAGAGATGGAAAGAAGAAATTTGCAAAGAGCTGATGCTTTTTAAGCACAGTGGGACACCGATTTCCAGCCAGCCACGGCCAGATATCCCCGCACACCCCATGGACCGTGTCACCCAGCCTGCACGGCTCCGCGCAGCGATTGGCGACGCTGAGCGGCGCCGAGGGGGACTTGCAAAACAAGAATACTCGTGATTTACACCGGGTTAGTTCCATGTCGCAGCATACGAACTCAAATCTCCCAACCCTGGCACCAGGGAACACCGCTCGCTCTGCAGCCAGCCGTATTCTGGTGCTACACGACTGCCAGGCACCACGACAAACTGGAGCGCGTGGTGGGAGGTCCATGTCCCTGGCTGACGGGAGAGGAAGAGCCGACACAAACCTGAGGCAATTCCTCACGTGGAGGAGCCTTTGGTTCAGCTCCTCTGTCAGGTCCTGCCCAGGCTGCCAAGTCAAATCGCAGAATCTCCAGGCCCAATCTCCTTTTGGTCCTGCTTTCCTGAATCTCCTATTTGCATCCTGCCTCCGACACTGGGCTTGCAGGTGACAGCATCCCTGCTCATCCCACAGCTTCACCACCAAACCTGCCTCAGAGCACAGGCTCTGCTCTGCCAACCAACTCCACCAAGAGCTCCTCGCTTAGCATTTCACGTGTGTTAAAATCCCAGTCATCCACCCACAGGAAACACAGGGACTTGGGAGTTACACAGCCTCAATGTCAAGTCTATCCTTTATGAGGAGTGACACTGCTACCACCCAGCCTTAGCCAACCTCTACCAGGTTTGCTTCAAGCCCTGAGGACCTGATCTCCATCCATCAGCGCTCTCCTGGCTTCTCCCTGGCATTTCTTCCCCAGCCAACCAGCCCTGACCCGCTCCGGGCAGGCTGACAAGGAATTACCTCACCTGCATCTTCCAGCCCTGGGAGAAAGCTGCCCTACTCACATCATAAGCTCTACAGGCAGGAAAAGGCAGGAAACTCAACACTTACAATTATCACCCAAACCTGCTTTTATTATCTACCAGGAAAAACACGGAGTAATGTTTAACACAGGCATATTAACTTTTTACCTGAAGTGCTTCACAGCTCTTTTACCGGGCGAGGGTGTTTAGTTACAGCGTGATTTCATTAGCAACAAGAACTGCACGGATGAACTGAACGAATTTAGTGGCCTGAGGAAGAGAAACTTCTAGAACACACCACAGGGCCCGGAGGAGCGCTGGGCAGCGAGTCTGACCCTCCGGCTTTGCTGTTCTTCACATCACACAGGCACCCCCCAGGGCTGCGGGGGCAGGGCCCGTAGTGGCGGATACTGGAGCCACGGCCACGAAGGGCGGCGGGGAGCCAGGGCAGGGCCCAAAGGCCGTTAACGGCCCCGGGCGATGCGGAGGCCGCGGCCGCCGCCGCCGCCATGTCGCGCTCCCACCACCACCGCCGCCGCCGCTCCCAGCATGCACCGCGCGGCTCCCGGCGGGCAGCGCTGCCCGAACTACAGCTCCCAGCAAGCCCCGCGCGGGCCGTCTGCTTCGCCTTCGCCGCCGCCGCCGCCGCCGCCGCCGCCACGGCGGCCCCGCTCCCTCCCTCCCTCCCTCCCTCCCGCCCTCCCTCCCGCCCTCTCACCGCCTCCGGTCGCTGCGGGGAGGCGTTCAGCAGCTCGTTCAACTCCGCGAACATGGCGGGCTCCCCGGTGCCTGTGGCGGGGTGGGGGGAAGCGGTGCGGCCGCCGCGCATGCGCCGAGCGCAGCCGGACAGCGCCGCCTGCCGGCGGGGCGGGGAGCCGCGGGGGGGGGGGAATGTTCGCCGCCGCCCGCCATTTCCCGCCCACCCCCTCAGGGACCCGCCGGGATTTTGGGGCTTCACCGGCCGCCCTGTCCCACCCGGGACCCCGCGACGGGTCACGGATATCTCGGGGGGGGTCTTCCCCGCCTCCCCGGGCAAGTTGCGGCCGCGGTGGTGGGGCCTAGTGCCACGGCCTCCCTCGCTGGCCACCCTCCCCAGATACCCATGAGCTAAGATTATTAAACATTTCTGGAATGGAATTATTAAGATCAATTTAAAATGTTTTAACCACTGTGCAGCGGAACAAGTAGCTAATCTTTTCAGGAATAGTTAGAATAACTGTAGGATAAGGAACTCATCAATAATCTTAACCTGAGGTGGTTCGGCCTCATGGCATCAGGTGCAAAGAAACACAAAGATAAGGAAGCTGCAAATTAGCAGCAAAACCAGGGCAGGCCAGCCTGGAAGGACAAGATCTACGTGACCATAGGACTGCGCAGAAGTAAGGGTCAACTGGCAGTGAAGAAGACTACGAGCCTTCATCTAAAGACCCACCTGAAGACTCCCAACAGACATGCAAATGAAGCCAAGAATTCAGTCTCAAGACATTAACATGTGCTAATGAGTTCCCAGAAAAGTTATGATAAAAATACGATAAAAATGAAATTAATGTGGATGATTAAAGTCGTATAAATGCTTGTTGATTTTGTCTTTGGACACACGCATTAGGAGGAGCTGTCCCCTGTGTCTCTGGCGCTGTAGTAAAGAACGCCTGCTTTCTAAAACTCCAAAATTGCGTCTTAGCGAATTAATTACCGCTTTCGGGTAACACCCCCTCAGGCAGTGTGAGGGGGTGAGCAGCGTCGCTGGTCACCCTCACCCTGGTGCCCACCAGGAACTTCTCTGCCAGGGAGCGTCAGCTGGGCAGCCCCCCAACCCGTCCCGCTGCTTTGGGATCATCCTGCTGCAGGACTTGGCCTTTTCCCGTCGTTGAGGATCCCGTCAGCCCATCCCTCCAGCCTGCCCAGGATCCTCCGTCCCACTCGTTAATGAAGGTGCTCGATGGGACTGGATCCCAGTACCGACCGCCAGTGACTGGCGTCCAGCACTGGTCACTGCCCTGATCCCTGGCCCGGAGGTGGCCCCCCTTCACCCCTTTGCCACGGTGGGCCCCTGGGTTTATATGGCAGATATAATACACCTTGAGACAGTGGGATATTTGGAAGGGGTCTGCTACTCTCCTAACATTTCCTGTTCCGTTATTAGCACAGTTGAGTGCTGCTGAACATTCATTTGACGCTCAGAGAATGAGCCGCAGCCGTTCCCAGCTAGCAGCTGAGTACCAGCAGCAGGTTTACAGCCTGTAACCACGAAAAATCCACATTATTTAGTGTTATTTTTGCCCGTGCGCCCGAATTTGCATTTTTTGGCACTGAATTCACCTTTCTGTTTCATTGCCCCCTCTCAGCTTTTGTAACATTTCATTTTCGTAATGGGTTGCCCGGCTGAGGGGAGGTGTGCCGGAGCCCTGGATGCACCAAGGGGCTCAGAGAGAAGATGCACCTGCCTTGCACTGTCTCCTCGGCTGTGAGCATTAGGGGGCATCAAATGATGCTAATAAATGGCAAGCGCCGAGCAAGAGAGAGGCAACGCCTGCGTAGCTTCGCGTGGGGCTCCTCAGAACTGCCAGTTACCACTCCTGAGGGTTTACATGCATTTAGGAGGGTGAATCAATGGGAGAAAAGGAACAAATCCGTGGAAGAGACATCTCCTGAGGGCCACCACCGGCTTGGGAAGGCCCTGAGCTGCGAATTACTGGGGCCTGGGAGAAGAGCTGTGGGAGCACGAGAAGTGCTGGCCTTGGCTGCGATCCTCCCTCACCTTCTGGTTTGGGCAACTGAGTCAGAAGAGCTGTAGGGATATTTGGTTGAACCACTGCGGCTGTTCTCTCTTTATTTCCTGTGTTCGTATGCATATTATCTGTAAAATTTATCCTGTTCTCCTTCCCTTCTTCAAGGTGTTTAGGAATATGCTGGATAAACCAGGTCCCAGCCCAGCCCCTGAGATATCCCGTCCGTGATCTCTCTTGGTTGCAGAAACCGATCATTTGTGTCAGCCCTTTGCTTCCTGTCTTTTAACCAGTTATTTAGCTGTGAAAGGACTTCCTCTCTTACCCTTTGATGGCTTCTTTTCTGTAAAAAGCTTTAGCTGAAAGCTTTTTTAAAAAGCCCAAATCGCTTTGCTTTTGTTTTCCTGCCCTTTCACAGAGCTGGGAACCTGGGTCTGGTCTCAGGGAGTCCAGTAACCAGCTAAGTCCCTGCTCTGTGTTGGTGCAGCCAGAGCCTTAATTCCTTCGCCGCCCTTTGAAACAGTCTGGCTCCTGGCCTCCTCGCTCACATGGTTTGTCTGCAGAGCCCCATTCTGCGGCACAGACGACAGCAAAGGGAGCTCACGGCTGGAGAAGAGCCGGGAGATGTTCCTACCTGGGAGCTCTCTACAGGGCTGCATTTGTATGCTAGCAAATGTGCCATTTGCAGACCATCTTTTGTCTGCACTGTCACATTTCTCTCTCTGTAGCACTTTTCTTCCAGCTCCTTCAGAAGCCGCAGAGCCCTAAATGCCTTGTAAATGAAATGTAAAATCCTCTCTTTTTCTCTTTGTAGTGGGAAGGGGACCAAAACTGCATGCAAAGTACAGCTGCATCTCTCAAAACACTTCTTGTCCTTCTTAATATATTCCTTCTCACATTTCATGACTTGTTACCGTGCGAAGGCAGTGAGAATTTTTCTGTTAAAACTGTTGCCCCTACCCTCCCATCTGCTTCGTGCTTATTTGCAGTATTTACAATGCAGCAAACCTTGTAAGTATTGCATGGTGGAGCCATATGGCATCCATAGGTAATGATGCTGCTTACAATTAAGCTCCTCTGCTATGTCAGGCCAGTGGGTAAAAAAGCAACTCATGACCAAGAGTAGGAAAAATACAACTGAACAAATCCAAACAATTAATCGTGTGGTGGTTGAAGTAATTCGCAAGCGCGTGGCAGGGAACGGTAACTAAAAGCACCGGGCTTCTTGATGTGAGTGCGTGGAAAATGATTTTTAGGGAGAAGGCACTTTGATTTACCTCCTTTGATTATCTGTTTGTGGCACCCCAGATGCCTGCGTTACTTATTGCTGAGCTACCCGGGATATTCCCGTCCCTTTGGATTTTAATGCACAAATCAAATTACACCACAGCAAAAGGAGGGTACCAAAGTGGGAGGGTTTTCTTGGCTTCACATAACTCCGTTGTTGCTGGTAGAATGCTAAATGCTTTAGCCATGCTTTGAGTCATAAAAGATCATTAGTGCTTTGGGGCCAGAGAAGGTTAATAAGAGAGCAGATGTTGGGCTGAGTCAATGGCCGGCTAAGAAAAGAAATGGGCATGTTGTCCCTTTAACTCAGCTTGTGTTCGGGGGATAAATTCAGCCCGCTCAATGCTGGAGCCTTGACATGGCAAAAAGCAGCTGGAAGGAATAATGGATGAGCTGAACCAGGTGCCGAATTTCTCTGAAGAAATGCAAGAGCCGGGCTTTGACGAGAATTTCTAAGCCAGCGGGTCCCTCCCTGTGACAGCCAGTGCAAAGAGGGAGCGCGGCGCGAGAGGCCGGGCTGTTCTCAGGGGGTGGCTGCTGCCTGCTCCTGCCCTTGTCGCTGTCACCCGGACGTGTCACCCCGCCGTAACCTCGGGCCTCACCCCTCCGCCGTTAACATCACTCTTTTCTAGACAAAAACTCAGGGAAAACTGGTTTCTTTTGGTCGCGCTAGCAATGCGGACACCTGACTTTTTTTTTTTTTTTTTTTTTTTCCAGCTTTGTCTACGCTTCTCAAATGAGCAGCAAACAGCAGGGCTGCTTGTGGTTAGCTCCTAACTTCAAACATCGCTGCCTCCGGCTGTGTTTGGACCCGCTCCTCCCGCTTTTGGCAGCTAGCAGATCTCCCCTGTGCCCGCTGGAAGAAGGGGTTATTATTGCCCTGGCCAGCACAGGACCTCGTTGTCTTCCTCGGGGACTGGCTCAGAAACGCCGTGGGTAAAATAGCCACGTAGCACCTGGGGAGTGAGGAGCGTTGGCTTCCGTGTTTCTGTCTCCTTTAGCTTGGCAGTGCTTGGGAAAATTGCTGCCGCTGAAACAGAATCCCACAGGTATTTACAAAGCCTCTAGTCCGCGATTCCTCGAGGCCGCAGATCATAGAATCGTAAAATAGTTTGGGTTGGGCTGTAAGGACAAAGCGCCAGGGAGGAGACAGGGAAAAAAAATATGAAATCAGATGCCTGAGGACATGGTTAAACATCTGGGACACATGATCTGCCTTTAAAAGACACCTACAAAAGAAAAACACAGAACAGCGTCAGTGCATACAGCTCCCTCTTTTACCGTCTCCTCGCACCGGTTGCATGAAGCTGGGAAGCCGGGTAGACATGGCAGGGTGGGTTAGTCCCACGCCTGGGTATTTGTTGTCCTGGAAGATTTTACAGGGGACTGGGACAGAAGAAATACAAGGTAAATAGGGAAAATAGATAGGAAGGGCAATGATTTTTATTCTTTCTCTTTTCAAATATATCTTTTTACGTATTTGTATACTTATATACATATATATCCCCTTGTGTGTGTAGCAGCTATTAAAAATGTAGGAGAAAATGATTAAGAATCACTGTTCTATCAGCCCCCAGTGAAGAGAAGATGAAGCTCATAAACCTGTTTTGCAGAGGGACGGAAGAGTGGGCCTGACATTTCTGATGAGCAAAAAGCAGAAGCATCGCAGGATCACTGAGCGCAAGACTGGAGGGACCCGGAGAGGTTGTGTAGATAGAGCAACACCTGCCGCCAGGCAAAATCAGCTCAACTTAAACCTTGCTTGACAGATGTTTGTCCAACCTGTTCTTAGAAACCCTCAGCCATGATGAC